ATAGGCATCTGAGTATTCTTATCATTTGGTAGCTGCAAAAACTAGATGCTCAAAGACTTGACACGGTGAAGGGGATAAACCTGAGAAGCCCGTGCCTTTGCGCACTTTCACTTTTTCTCTAGGGTTGTAGTGTGCGTTTATCATTTTCTTGGTTAAGTAATGGTTTACTTTGAGTGTTTCAATAACTTAAAATCAGAGGCGGAGTTGATGACAGCAAAAAAGCCTTACGAAAATACAAAGTCTGGATTTTACATCAGATTCAGAGATTTGACCGGGCGAAGCCAGGTATGCCAACTAAAGGAGAAAAAAGTGAGATTGTGTCAACGAAACCGAACATAAACATAAGAAAAACTCGTACTACTTCTTTAATGTGTATGCCTGAATTGTGCACTACAGCACAGTTGGAACAATTTATCTCTACCAGCATCATCAGATAAGCTCTTGTCATGTAATTACTCGTGATTCTATAAATATGTATGTCAAAATCTCATCAAAATCGAAGTCAATGAGGAATTGAAAACGATTCTATCAGTGTGCAGTTTCACACGCATATAAGGTTCAGATGCAAATTTATGCAGACCTTGATCTTGCGTACCTTGAAAGAGCAATTCTATTCTATTAACTATTGAAGATGCTATAGTCAAAACCAGGAAAACTGGTTTTTTTTTCATTAACATTCAAAGAAGACGTTTTATCATCATGGCCTTGATAGGAGTCCTTGATGACTCCGAATTGTCTGTGAATTGTCGAACAAAAATCTTTGTTTGCTTTTCCAATCTCTTAGCTTCTTAAAACATCAAAGAATCGTTCGCTTACGAAATCGCTTCCTCCTTCTGAGGGACTACGCAAGGCAGTTTTTTACGCTTTAGGGAGCATTCATGACTTATTATCGTGTTTTTGTTAATCTCATCTCAACAATAAGAGGGATGATGATTCTTTGTACTTATGAAAATTGCAAAAAAAACCTATAATGGTGCACGTCTCTGAACGGAAAAGATATTTATCAATATATAAGTTTCTTTTTTTGCAAAGAAAGGATATTTTTGTGGTGAGGCTAAATCCACCTTTGCATGGCTGTTTGCGCGATTATGCACAACTCAGTAACATAAAATTGAAAGAATTCTACGAAGCTCTTCTCCCTCGAACAAATACGCTGGATTTTTGCCGCTACAACTTACTTCGACA